AACGATGCTGAAAGTACCAGAACGTTCTGAGCTTCTGGCGAGAGCGTCAGAGACTTCGCCTAGAAGTCTGCGTTGTGCTGTCGGAGGGAGAGATGGCTGAGGTGAGATGTATCCAAGAATGTGATTGTTCAGCCTGTGCGTGGACCCTTTTAAACAAACTTGTAAATAGATCGCAACCCTGCGTGCGCGGACTTGCCATTTCATTCCTTAGTTACAGGAGCGCGATGTTGGTTCCATCAGATCTTCCAAGAAAACTTCAAGGGCACCTCCCCATATGAACTCCAACCTAGCGAAAGCGTCTAGACGATTTCCTTTTGCGTCGTTTCGCTCGTCCCTGCGTGATCGTCAACTAGGGACCACGAGCGATCTTTCCTACCTCTTCCTTGTCCTATTCTCACATCTCTTACACACACTTACACTAACATGCACTACACTACCACTCATGCCGGAAGACGGATCGAGAGCTTACAGCTTCCGTACGGGTGCAATGCCCCGCTGGTGTGAGGTATTTGGTTGGGGTTACCCCCGCTAGACGACGGTAGGTCGGCGCCGGATCTCGCCGTCGCGCAGCGGGGGAAGACCACCGCCGCCTCTCGATCAATAAAACATGCACTACACCTACGGGACATTTTTTCTTGTAGTTGTCGCGCCTGGAATCACAATCAATCAGGATCAAATAGGGTTAAATTAAGTACTTTTGTCTCAATTGTTATTGGATTGCCTCGTGCGGTAAATTTTATTTTTAAAAATCCTTTAAAATGGCGACTTTTGCAAAACAGTGAATTTAAAGACAAATTAAGTTTTTTTGGACCATTAATGTCATATGATTGATCCATAAATTTAAATTGATTCAGAGAAAATCATGTAAAAAACTTGATTGCTGGTTGTCTGCCAGTAGATTCTTTCTGTACTTTTGCATTATTAGCCAAATATTGTTTAATGAAAAAAAAAGTACATGCATTATGTTATTAATGGACCTGAATGCGATGGAGCCCCAATAACGTGACATCTCGTAAAGTGGATTCGAGTGACCTCATTACCTGCCTTGTTGGGCGTTCGCCACCAACATCAACATATGCATGAAACTACGGGTATATAAACGTAATATGTGCTTAATAATTTGTGTAATTTTCAACGCGACTTCGAGTTGATTCAGCTATCTATCGATCGTCTGTACTTGGGGACTGCAGCTCTAGAGCATTCCATGCGGAAACTGTATGTGTCCCTGCATAATTTATGGCGATTTGTCAGAAACATGCGAATGTTCGTTGAACTAGTTTCATTACGCCAGATAACGATATGGACAGATTACATTATTTATGGGTTCAATTTATCCGTGCGAAAGGTATCCGCAGGAATTTCTACGATAATCATAGATTTTAATGAACATCGCGTTATTTCTGATAGCGTCGGCGATTGGAAGTTCATAATCTACATAAACTCGTTGAATTTCTTTCTGCCGCGTCCGTCTGTTGGAATTTATTTGGCTGTGCGAGATGCAAAACGAGTCTTTTAAAGGATACCAAATTGTTTATTAAAACGCAATAATTTATTTTCCATATTAAAAGATCCCGTAATTTCGCGTGCATGCGGAATGAAATATGGCGTTTTATACGTCATTAAAGGGTGCATATATTCACAGCTGGGCGCCAGCGCGCTCAACCAGTCGCTCAGCGATATTGAATTAACGCACCCGCGATGTATTTTGAAGGATTGATTTATTTGGTAAAACCAGGCAGTTTTACACAAAAAAGAACTGAGTGGACATCTTATTGACTCCGGAAATTGTGATATTGCATATGGAGGCATTCGAAAAGAAATGTCGCCTCTGATGCTTTAAGTAACGAGTTCGTTAAAAGTAATAATTGATTACAAACGTGTCTGTGGAGAGCACATTCAACTGAGTCCAGTGGGAAGTATTTTTTCTCTTAGAGTAGTAACGATCTAGTTGTATTATTGCTTACTATTCCTAAAACTGAAAATTTGTGAATAGTTTTTAAAAGTTTACTGTAGCTAAGTTTATTGTTGTCCTTTAAATGTGTGTGTTGTTGTTAAACTCTTTGTACAGTTCTGATCACAATCGGGAATCGCTTTTAACAGATACAGATTCATGAGGTAATGCGATGATGAAATACGAGGAGGAAATTCGGTTGGATTACATCAGAAAGACAGTGGTACGAGCTATCCTCTAAAATCGGGCATCGAGGACCTCATTGTAACATTTAATCCTGTGATACTGAAACACTTCTAATTGTCGGTTTTCCGGGTCTCCTGTATTTAGATGGCTTTGGAATCACAGTCATTTTAAGGCCTGCTTTGAACGAATTATAGAAATCTCACGTGGAATATACCCATAAGGTCAACTTGACAAATATGAAGGTAATTGACTCCAAAAATGAATCATCGAAAGATGAAACAAGGGCATTTATAGGACTACAAAAAAGACGGTGAAAGGGCTTTGCTTCCATTGTATTAGAACACGTCTCTTTGTTGGTTTCCCCCAATTCAGGTAGCGAGTGAAGTCCGCGGTCCGGTGTGAATGTCTTCGCTTGGATTATAACCGTTTCTATTATCTATTATTTGTAGACGTCGGCAAGACGCCTCGTCAAACCGTTATTTATTCCTATCTTCTATTTTTTTGAAATGAATGACTACGAAAATTGAAACGAATTTGTTTGCATTTGTTTTTATCTGTTTAACGTATAGTCCTATTTCGTTATTATTGTAAAGAAGTATAACAATTACGACTTTTCTCTAATATACAAGAAATTGTTCATGTATAGTTTATGTGCCGTAAGCAACCGTATTTTCATTTCTTTAGATGTATTTCCGAATCTGGATGAGTTCGTCTCCCTGGTCCTGACGACATCTGGCAGATAAGGCCGACAGGAAGGTTGCATGGCTGGAAATTACCTGTTGGGGAGATTCCTTTCTCGGAAGCGCTGCCCGTTCGTCACACGCAAGAGCTTCTGAGAACGAGACCTACTTCCGGGCAGCCTGAGCCGAGCCATGCTGAATCTGACTACGAAAAATGATTTGCGGCAATTTCATTAAATTGATGTTGAATTCCAAAAAAATTTAATAACTTTCATGGGAGGTTTCGAGATGATGATCTGCATTACCAGGAAGTATTGAAGTAGCAATGAGTATTGAACTGTATTACCAGGAATCCCCGACGTCCGAATGATCAGTATTCTGTCTACATAAGCACGTCCAAGTTGGAATGAGTTTTATGGCCTGACAATTAGAGTTTATTAGTGTTGAATAAATAAAAATATGAATCTCAACTTTGAACATATTTTTGTTTAATAGGCGCTGCAGAATGTGTTAAATACTATTAATACACTTTTCAAGCTAGGAGTTCAGATAATACCCTTTCCTTTCTCTTGAATCTCTTCTTTCAGCATTCGCAATCAGGATAGACAACTATCGGGAGGTAATAGCTGTAAGTGTTCATCACGTAAAAGTGAAGTGTGAAAAAAAGTCTGTTTGTACGCCTCTTCATTTTCTTTCCCGTGGTGCATCTCTTTAATTTGAGAGAAATATAGACACTGGAATGGGGAATATACGGAGAGGTGGACGAACAAGCTCTAGTAAATTTTTATTCTTCACGAGGAATTTCTCAGGAGAATGTGTAATATTATGAAATCTTTTTTATTTCATAAAGAACGGAGGTAGATGCTTCTTTAAAACGTACTTGACATTTAATTTGTTTTTTTTTCCCTGCCACTGGTTGAAGATTATGGATGCTGTGGAACGTCAGGAAAGGAGATTGTTGTTCCTTCAAGCCCAAAGTAGTCCCTTTGCGGCGTTTTACTGCAGAAGCTTGTAGTTCATTAGTGGGCTTCTTCGTAATTTTATCTTCTGACTTCTCGCTTTCGCTTTAACTCACTATGCAACCAGTTTCCCCAACGTTTCTCTCTGCTGACTCGCGTTAGGTCCTCGCCCCCATACCTAATGAAGCACTGAAGAAAACTGCTGTGAATTTTCAGGCCCCTTTGAGGTGGTTCTGCCGCCTCCCCAGCGCCGCCCGCCCCGCTCCGCCCCGCCCCGCCGCCAGCCCGCCCGCGCCCCCGCCCGCCCCCTACCGCTCCAGCTCGCTCCGCCCGCCCCGTTCGCTCCGCTCCGCCCCGCCCGTTCTCTCCGCCCCGCTCCGCCCCCCTCCGCCCCCCTCCACCCCGCTCCGCGCCGCGCCGCGGCCGCGCCCGCCGCTCCGCCCCGCTCCGCCCGCCCCCGCTTCGCCCGCCGCCGCCCCCAGCGCCCCCGCGCCGCCCTCGCAACGCCTCCGCGGCCGCCAACGCCCCCGCCGCCACGCCCCCGCCGCCTCGCCCCCCTTCCGCCCCGAGCGCAACGCCCCGCCCCTCGTCACCGGCGTCGCCGCCCCTCCTTCGTCGCGCTTATCTGCGCCCTAATTGAAGGCGCTTCGCGCGTGGGGTCCGCGCTGGTAACTGGATCCGATTCCTCCGACTCCGCTCCCTTCTTTGCGCGAGTTCGCTCTATCTGCGTTGCCATCCGTCGCCCCGTTCCGGCGCGGACGGCCCCCCTGGAACCGGCGCGCAGTTATCTCGCCCCGCGGCGGTGCGCGATCGGCGTTCATTGCCGTTTGGGAATTTCCAGTAATTGACGATCGATGTGGCTGCAAGGTGAAGATACGGCATTGTTGGGCGATTTCACAAGCGCTTTTCCTTTCGAAGACCTCTCTGTGTCGCTTTACTTTACTACTTTATTTTTCAATTAAAATTTATGTTAACTGACTTGTTTGCCTAATACGTTGCAAATGTTAAAATTGATTCACTTGACTGAATATTTTAGGCCATTTGATTAATTTAAGTTTAATTGAATAGATGTACAAAACGAAGTAGTTCTTACAATCACAGTTGTGGGAAAAATGTTACTTTTAGATTTATTTTTAATAGTATTATTTGTATTAAAACGTCTTGTAATGATATAGAAACAAGAGTATATAATACGTTACTTAATTATGTTCTCTTTTGTTTCAGGTATCGCTCATTTCCTGCTCAGTCGCCTTTGCGTGTCTCCTATGCCATCAGAATAGTAAAGTAGTGATTTCAATTCGTAATAAGTATAATATGTGACATTCAGTTTAATATTCGTTGTATTGGATATTCATTTTAGCGTTATATATTTTGTGCGTTTCTTTCCAGAATCTCTTTAGGAATTCATGCTTGCCAAAATGTCTTGTGCTCCTGATTCGTGTTCCTGTGAAAGCTCAATAGTTAACTTGTCCACCTTGAGCATAATATGAAATGCCGCTCCTTTTTATTGGCCATTCTAGACGCATAATAACGTTTATTGCCTTGTCCTCTCGTTCCTCGGCTCACAATAACTACTCGTGTTCAGTTGTAAATAGCTTACTTGTGAATGTGTGTGTGTGTCTATAAAATCAGCTAGGTCGAAGAGAGGAATCAGAATTATAATTCTATGTGGGAAACGTAAAATGTTGGCATTTTTTGCCGAAGGATGACAAGGAAATGTGGAAATCTTTCGAGTCGTGTACGTCTGAATGCCAATTTTACTACAGACTATTTTGAAATTCGCTCTTCAAAAACTGTGTTCTTCTTCTTATCCCCTGCGAGTGGAAGTACATCATACAGTGTCTCTCGCACTCAAACTTACATCTTATTATATCTCGCCATTCGTTTTTTTAATATATTCGCCATTCTGTCCCCGATTTTCTGTCGCATCCTATCACAGCATGAGAGTCTTGGTCTGTCTCTTGTCCTGTGCGGCTATCACCGTTATGTTTTAATGGCCATCTTTCAACATTCTTCGGAGATGACCATACCAATTTAGTAGTCTCCCTTCTATTATATCCAAAGTGACATCCATTTGTTGCTTTATCTTTTTATTTCTAATCTTTTCCATTAAAGTAACAATACTGTTGTGACTCCAATACTCAATTTCCATTGCCTTTGACTATGACGCATCATTTTTTTCTCCCACAACTAAATACCGTATTGAGATACTTGCTTTCCACCTTTGCTTTGTAATTTTTACTTTGTTTTATTTTTATTCCATATTATTGAATGCAAATATCAGATGGCATATATTCCTTTCTGAATGCGGTGTTTGGTTTTCTCTCTCGTTGTCCTTTCGGTCTGTTTAATTTGTTTTCAAAACATATGTTAGTGAAAAAAGAAAATGAGATCAAAATAGCTGCACTGTGGAGTAATGTTTTTTTTTCAGTAACCGTATTGATGCATCTCAGCACCGTTGATATAGAGCAAATATTTAGTGTAAATAAAGTATCAGATGTGAATATATTAATCCTGTTCTGGCTTCTCTTTATTTTTAAAGGGTGCATGTCTTTTCAAACAGTATTATCAGTATAATTGTTTTAAATCACAAAAGATCCTCCTCTTTGGAATAAAATGTTTAACAAAATCTCTTACGTAAGAGAGGTATGCTTTTCTTTCCTCTCTAGAGAAGTGTCCCCCTATGAATTGAAAATCTTTTTCGATTTTTAACTTACAAAAGAATTTAATCTTAATATGTATTATCGAATATTTGCAACATGGATTTCCTTACAAGTAATTTTGTCGTTTCTTTATTATATTCTTATTATGTTTGTACGGAAGAGAGATTTCAAGGAAAATAAGTTGTAAAGTGGATTTAATTCTTAAACTCAAATAATGTAGATTAGCCGAATGAAATGATTCTAATTTCTTTGTTAAGCAATAAAATGGTTTATGTAATATATTTTTCATTGAGAATATATTAATTTGTCTTTCAGCGTGCAAATTTGAATTCAGTGGCAGTATTTCTCTTTTGTCCAAGACTGAACGATCCGTTGGTGAGAGCGACCCTCTCCTCCCATTCTCCCTACGCCGGGCTGCCCATTACTGGCTTTTAGTCGGCGACCGCCAACAATTTGCGGCATGCGTTGCGCACAGGGCGCAGTCTTGCGGGCTGAACCCCAACTTCGCTGATTTCATTAGCTGGAAACAAAGGGTTTAGCGCCATGGTCGCGACGTAGCCCTTTTGCCTCTTCTTCGGTCAGCCTTCGTTCTTTTGCCTTCGCTTTTTCCTTTTTACCTCTCTTCTGAATTGGTTTTCTAATTGCGTATTTTCAGCACTACCTCTCTTCTTATTTCATTCGTCTCCATATTTCTAGTATTAAGGGCGATTTTGATTTTGTGGGTAATTTAAATACATAGTTCATTTTGTGTGCGCTGGTGGAGATATTGTTGGTCAGCTGTAATTTCAAATAAATCCCATATATATGGCTTGATTTCTGGTAGAACACGACGGAAAGGCGTTCCGGCGCCTCCGTCGTTATTATTAAATTTAATTTCTAATGCTCCCCATAGAACGACAAAGTCGTATGGAGAAAAAAAAACTTTTATATGATTGACGATACACACAACATTTAAATCTATGGAAAGTATAATTTAAATGTATGGCGAAATCTTATTTAAATGCAATTCCAGGATTTTTTTATTAGAGGAATCATTATTTTCATGAACTGTGTATCTGTTCACAAGCCCGTAAATGTTATACACCAAAACTATGTCGTCTTCTGAAGTGATACGGCTAACGGTTGTAAACAACTAAGCTATAAGTTATATAAACAATTAATCTATAAGTTATAGCATCGCCGATTAGTGATGCGACATCGATCACAAAACATACGTGTTACCAATCAACGATGTCTAAAATTAAAACACATGTTAATAATACATCGACGATAAACCGTCGATGTTTTTAAACATACAAGTTTTAATGCTGGCTTAGTAATCTATAACATTAAGTTAGTGCGCAACAAAATCGAATTTGCCAATGGTGATGTGCATTAATTTATAATTAAGATGTAACTGTAAACAGGGAAAAATTAATGATTGCGATGGACAAAACTAAGCCTGAGCGCCATTATTTTTCATAAGTGGTCAGTCCTCATTTCGCCGAAGAAGAGTTCGTATAAGGGCGGAGGCCCTAAAGCCAGGGCACATATCTCTCCGTGCGCGAAATAGGATGTACTAGGAGGGCATTGGGATAATGTCGGATGAAAGACAGTCTGCTCCTTGAAGGTAGTGCCAGCAACGTTCGTTTCCTGGGGAATACAAAAACTGTCAATGGTGCTTTTACAGATATTATTTAATATTTTAACTTTTACAAAATTGTGATTATTGAAATTTGTTTTGAAAACGTAGACATTGATGTCACATCTCTACCGATGATAGCGGGGCAATGGCTCGCTAATAGAATTGGAGTCGCTACTACTACTTGTGAAAAAAATGTGTGTTGTCTATTACTGCAGAACAGTGCGTTTGTTGATTGTATTAGGTTATTCTGAGTAGATTGATATGTGGGGTTTTAACATTTCGTAAAAAAATTGTCACCCAAACAAAAGTCTACGTACTCCTTGCCCGAGGAAGGAAACGAAGTCACAGTCTTAAACATGGTTACTGACTGTGCAATTTCGTTGCTGATTGTGCAACTATAATTGAGCAATGTTTGTAATTAATTTTCTCCCCGTCTTTTCATTTCAGTTAACTATTCAAATCGAAAATGGATATTCCACAAGTGCAATATTGAACCGTATAATTACTCAATTTACATTGTTATATCCTACCTAACCGACGCCCTACCAGAATCATGAGATGGATCGATTAACTAGCGAGAAAGACTACTACTTACTAAGAGAAAATGTGGGATAATTTACAAAATATTTGACAGGTTTGTCCTGTTACCGTCTTGGAGAGTTCCTTTTTGAGCCTTCTTGAAGTATCTCTTGTGTTTCTTTTGCTATCCATAACGCGCTGCCTCAAAAACTACTCTTTTACTCGGAAGTTTTTTTATCGTAGGATATGTGTTAGCAAGATGCGAATCGTAAATATTAAATAGCTTTCGCAGTAGCAAATTTCACTTCCAGAGGGAAGAGTCTTTCATGTCCATCGTGATATATTCGGCTCCAGTGAAGAGTACGCTTTGACCGCAATAAACCCTTCACCCTGGTAGGTTGCGTGTTGTTGGGCCATTGAGAGGGCGTATGTGTGTTATGTGCCTGGCATATGAACACGTGTTCCGTATAAAAGGCTTTTCAAGAATATCTTAAAACGATCACGATTCTTCGAATGCAAGTTGTATATCATTGTTTCTTCTTGTGTGGGTGGTTGCTGAATGCTGAGGAAACAATGTTCTTATTTTGTTTTTATTGGCGTCACATTACGTTACCATCGAATTAGAAGGATTTTATTTCTCGTCAGCTTTTTCTTCACTTTATCTGCAATGAAATAAAATAGTTTTCCAGAAATTTTTTAGTACATTTGTTCTGTTGAAATATATGGAACTATTGCATATTGAATCTTTCGTAAAGGTTACTTTACAGCTTCATGTTTTAAATTTGCCTTTAAAATTTCATGTATGTGTAGGAATAGATAGCGTGATTCATGTCCCTGAAATTCGAAACATTGTAATCTAAATCTACTTTGCCTAACATTGACGTTAAAGGAATTAAAAATATAGATATGTGGAATTTCAGATGTATTTTTGTGAGTGAAATAGAAGAGTCTTATTTCCAAAACTTTAGTGTTCATTTTCTTCAATTTATCTTGCAACCAGCAAAATAAAAGTGCTTGTGACTCTCAAAAGAATCAGCATATCTACAAGGCATTTAATCTGTGAAACCACTACGCTACCGCCGGACCTCGAAATAGCATCATAAAATGCGAGACCGCATCGATCTTTGCAATCACCCATTCTTTTCACTAGTGCTTT